AATATAAAAAGGAGTTGGGTTTAAAATAAAAGCTAGGGAAAAGCCAGCACTCAGGCTCACTTCTCACTCTATGGACGCCTCTGCCAGGCTGGAGAGCGAGGCGTTGTGGCCAGAGAGCTCCTCGATAAATCATCATTAGGTACACGTGCAAATACAGCAGCCAGGCCCAGGCGCACAATTAGGCACCTAATTATGTTGAAAATGCAATTGCACAGTTAGCTACAATGGCCACACGGCCTTGGGAGCTGCCTGGGGCCTGTCCCGGCCCAGCAAGGCGCCGGAATGGCACCTCTGGGAAGTGCCCTGTGAGGGGGGAAGGTGTTCAAGAGTCTGCCACGGTCTGCCCGGGCACAGCCTGTGCTTGGGCTGCTTCTCCTGCCCAGGGGAGTGATAGGGATGGAGGGGACAGCACAGAGCATAGGTGTGGGACCCTCATCCAGCTCGGAATGAGAGGAGACAGGCCACAGCACAGATGTGTTATTTCCTTCCCTTTCCGCTGTGGCTTCTTTCTGCAAGGCAAAGAGGGGAACACCCAGCCAAGTGGGATCCGCGATTCAGCTGACAGTGTGGCTGTGTGACTGTAACTGCACCAAGGCCGATTCCAAAGGAAAATGCAGTTTAACATAACACTGTCACTGTTACAGAGACAGCATTTTCTGTATGAAAATGTCTGATCTGGGAGTGTTGTCAATGCCATGATCCAGGTGGGGCTGGACTCTCTGGCCACTGCTTGGTGTGACACGATTCCCACAGGCAGGGACCACATGTGTGTAATAGTGTGTGACCTGTGGGCTGAGGCTGAGGAGTGGGGACACAGCTTTAGCCTTTCCCATTTATCCTGCACAGGTGAGGGGCCATCACTGGCTTTGTTTCTGTTTCCCTCTGCCAAGAGTTTTCAACCTGCACTTTAAAACCTGAGCTGAGGACAGCCAAGTGAAGAGCCCAATTCCCAGTCAGGAAAACCGAGTTACATTTGTCCTGTGCCTGTTCAGCATCCTACAACCCATTTCCATTGTTCTCAGCCTTGTCAGGACTTATTCAAACCATCACACCTCTCAGTAAGTGCTTGGGCCGTCCCGCACAGGCACAGCGTTAGCACAGCTCTTACTGCCACGTCTCCAGGTGTGGGCAGGATGGCAGAGCCACTCTCTGCCTCACCTAAGGCACAGTTTTAGAAGCTGAGAAGGCTGAACACAGTCTGTTTGCCTGTTGCCAAGAGCGACAAGTGGGCAAGCACTGGTATGTAACCTTGCTGGGGACAGGGAGCACCTGGGAGGGGCTCTGGGGCCAAAGGCACACAGCCCACCTAAGGGACAGCAGGACCACCGGAACTGCCAAGTGACGCGCTCGCTGAATGACTGAATTGGTTCAGAGAGGAAAAAGCTGGATAGTTAAGGCTGAGTGTGTGTCCATTTCGGTGCAGACACAAACCCACACTTGCCTTTAGGGAGAGGACAAGGGCCCTGAACATGCAGAGTGCTCGGAGATGGGTCCCAGCAGGTCCCTGTCCCCATCCCTGTCCCTGTCAGCCACAGGGTCACTCCAGGGCAGAGTCAGAGACACGGGAGATCCTGCCAGCACCGGGGGATGTGCTTAAAGCATTCAAGAGCTGAACAGCTATTGCATTTAAACTGCCAATGTCCTGTGCCAGCAGTCCTGTGCACTGCCTTCCCAGGCTGCCCATTGCCTGCCTTTCATGGCATTCTCCCAAGTCCAAACCTGCGCTTTAGTTCCCTGACCTAAGTACTTTAACTTTGCCCTTTGGTGGGGACCAGATATTGAGCCAGATGGGGGAGTGTGAGAATCATTTGGCCTGTGTTTAGGAATATATATATATACATAGATACACACTATACACACCACACACATATTTGTATTCCCCTCCCTTATAATCCTTGAAATTCACAGTATTGTGAAAATCAGAACTTTTATCTCCTACTGCATTTTGTTTAATGCTCAGGTAATACAGTTGTTTTTAATGACAGCAGTACTGTAGTTAGTCTTGCTCAATTTATTAAGCACCCTGAATAAGCAAGAAGTAGCCCTTAACATAAAGCAGTCCTTCTTTTTAATGCTGTGGTGATTCCTCTGAAGGAAGTTGAAGGAATTCCTCACTTGGAATTGAAAACTTATGCTAGAAGTCTGAATAATACTTGTTGCAGAGAACTTACTAGCCAAGGAGTGAAGGTACCTTCTCCCCCCTTCCCCCTTTTTTCTAAACACTGTAATATCATAGAACTACTAAAATTACTGCAGTTTTTTAGTTTAAAAATGCATGTAATTAATTTGTACAAGCTGAGGTGCTACTTAAAGGAACTTTGTCTACTTCAGGGGATCTTAATTAGGTTTATTCTGTGAACACAATAAACCCAGGATTTCTGCATGGATTTAGGAGGAGAGGTTGCCTGGGCCTCATTTCCATCCATTTTCACCCTGCCTGCCATGGTCAGGCCATCAGCTGAGAGGAGTCTGCATTTCATTCTTGTGCTCACCATCAGTACTAAATGCTAAGAAAAGACATTATTTTGCTTAGGAAAATCCAACGTTTCACATTTTTCCCAATTTCTTGCCTACGTTTCCAAAGAACGGGTCCATGTCCCAGAATCCCACCAAAAAATCCAGCAGTTCTTCTGGTTCTCATGGGCACCAGTCAGAAACTGTATTTGGAAAAGCCAGTTTGGCTGCACTTTGATCCAGACTGTGTAGGTACAAACACAGGGTTCCCTGGGTTAGAGATGCACCTGCACCTTTAAGCTCTTGCATCCCTGTCTCCTCCTCAGGATTCCCCATCATTTGTTACCATCCCTATGACAGAGGAGGAGCCAGGTACTGTATTTTCTGATTGTCACTACCAAGTCTGCAGTGATTTATTCCTATAGGCTCTAACTGAATTAAAATCTTAATTAAGTTTATGCCACTTTTTTCTTTGTTTTAATTAGGTACAGCCAAATCACTTGTCTGGGGGAAGGAGAAAGAAAAAGATAAAGAGCAGAAACACTTTATTCTGCTCTGTACTTGTAGTAGCGAAGCCGTGGTGAGAATGTCCTCCCAAAGAGGTACCACAGGGGAGGACAGGTGACACAGGGAGGACAGTGCTGTGGCACAGGAACCTCAGCTGTTCACAGAAATACTTTCCTTGAGTGTGTCCTGGTGTCATTCCACACCGGGCTCCTACAGTCCTTACTTCAGTTGAAGACACCAGGAGATGACACATTGCAGAAGTGAGTTTTTGATGCAGTCAGGTTGGAAAACCTCTAAGACCGTTGAGCCAGCCGCTCCCCCGGCACTGCCAGGGCCACCCATGTTCCCAAGTGCCACATCCACAGACCTCTGAACACTGCATGGAGAAGCACTGCTGCTCCATCCTGCTCGTGTTCCACCCACAGCAAACCTTACACAGATTACAGGCTTTGCCCCAAACAAATTGGAGGGTTGTACTAAGCTCTCCTAAAATACCGTGTGCTGCCATCAGCGAAGTGTAAATCCCTCCTTTTAGCAGTGGAGGGATTTTTGTTTGCTCTTCTTTCCATGTTACCCATTCCTTTTGCCTCAGCCAGCCTGTCCACAGGCCACAGCTCTGCAGAAGTGCAAGCTGGCTCTTTGTGGGGACACCCTGGCTGAGCTCATGGCTCCTCTGCAGGGTGGAAGCTTGCCTTTCACCCGCTGTTCCATGGCACCCGTGGCAGGGGAGTGGCCATCCCTGCCAGCTTCCCTGGTCCGCAGGGGAATGCACTTCCACTGGGAAAGCTGCTATGGCAGGGCTGGTGGGCTGAGGCTTTCCAAAGGCTTCAGGGGTTGGGAAGCGTTTCAGGGGGACCTGGGGACTCTTTGTGCTTCTGTGAATCTCCTGCTCAACGTTTACATGTTGACATTTTCTACTTAAGGGGCCTTTTGGCATCTCTGGTATTAATTTATAATGCTGTGGTAGTGGGGCTGGAGCACTGCAGGAGCAGCCTTTACTTTAGAAAGACTTTGCTCAGACTGGAATCAGTGCAGAGACTGATCACATTCCAGCTGCTCCTGCTGGGTTTTGGTTTCTTGGATTTTTAATTTTTTTTCTGATTGTTTGGCTAGATTCTGCAAGTGTATCTCCTCACTGTATTTCCCAGTATCTTTACATATCACACGTTCTAATGGAGTGTTACATGATACTGGCAGGATTCTGTGCACCTCCCTGTGTGAACTGAGCCTCAGGAAAAAAGGGCTTGAATTTGTGTACTTGTTTGCCAGATGTACTTCACAGACTCTGAAACTTCCCTTGGTTCGTGCAAAGGTGTTTTACACAAGCAAAGTGGGGCTTAAAAGGGCCATTTATGTCAGCAAGGCTTTGCACAGGCAAAGGACAGACCAGCTGGATTAAATTCTATTACAGCTGGTACAAGGCCCCTTACAACATGCCTGGGTCATTTAAAAATTTTAGAAATCATTTAGCTTCAATCAGCTCTTCACTAACTGCAGTTAAATGCATGCAGCCATTTGAGGACAGTTCACAAAGCTATTTTTACTCATTTAACTACACCTGTTTGAAAATATAATTTGAAATACGCAACTAATTACAATAATTGCACCTATGATTCATTTTTGCCAGAGAATTTTTGTTTAGAAGTTTCTAATTCACCAGTGCAGGCTTTAGTTCCGTTATGGTTTCAACTCCAAGGAGCTGACATCCCCATCAGTGAGAGGATTTAGGAAAGGCACCGTTCTACCCACGTTATAATTAAATTCAGGTTCAGTCCGTGTGGCTGCAGCTTTGGAAGATAATTGTGCACACCTCATTGCTTTTTACTCCTGAATGTTGCTGTGGTCATTTACCAGGTAATTCCAGAGACAAGGTCTGAATTACCCGAGATTTCATAAAGTTTAAAACATCCACACCTAGCGCGAGGATGCCGGGGCATCGCCTCCCCCATCCCAGACAGTGAATCCAGCAGTCATGGAAAAGCCCCAAACCCGGGGGAGCAGGTCCCCGGGCAGCAGCGCACGGCTCAGTTCTGTGTACAACAAACATGGCGTTGCCATGGCAACCGCCCCGAAATTCGGTTTTATATAGCAGTGACAAACCCCGCCGCCTTTCCCAAAGTCACCATTTAGCACGGCATTCTCACACCTCACCTCCATGTAACCATTCCGTGCCATTTCCGTGCTCTCACACAGGGGTCTGTGTGGGGGCTGTTCCTTTCCTCTGACCAGTCAAACTAATCTGTACCTCCTGCCTCGAGCTCGGAACACACTAGGTGGGATAATTCTGATCTCTTTCAAATCCCTTAGATCTCTTGTCCCCTCCTCCTGCTCACCTTGCCAAGTGTCTCCTCAGGCAGGAGGCAGGAGCCAGCCTGGAGTGAGGCTCCCAGTGGCAGTATGTGGGGTCTGCTGTGCCCACACACCTGGCCAGCTGGGCCAGGGCTCTCTAGCAGAGCTCAGCTCACCAGGTGAGGGGGTAAAGCTCCTTTGGGGAAGGACAGCTCTGGCCCAGTGCAGCCAGGGATTCTGGGAGCAGCCCCGGCCCTGCTCCAGGCTCTGGGAATGCCCTCGAGCACACTGCTCCTGGTAGCGCTGTCCCCCAGCCCAGGCGGATATGAAACAGTGGGAAGCATGTTCCTTCAGGTTTCAGCACTGCAGGATGGATCCCTGTCCTGCCATGGCGAGCCCCTGCTGGGCAGTGCCCCCCTGGCAGGGCAATGCACCCCTGGCAGTGCTGTGCCCAAGTGTGTGCCCACCCCAGCCAAGCCTTCCATGCTTTCACAGTGAGGAGCAAACCCCATGTAAACCCAGCTGGGAGGGGAGGGACCTAAACACGCCACATGCTGCTCCTTTTCCACTTGCATCAGTGCAGCTTTGCAGAAGGGGCCACTTCAAGTATTACCCAAGTATTCAAGACCAATTCCTAAATTAAGTGCACGGGCTTCCTTAATTCCAAAGCTCACAACTTCCATTATCACCTCTACCAGGCCATGTGCAGCCCTGGCCAGCTTTATCCATGCCCTAAACAAGAACCAGATGTTCCCTCTCTCCATAGCTCCTCTCATTTATTCCCCATTCTGAGATTGCCCTCAAGTGTGCTGCTCCCCGCCTGGTAAAAATCTACAGAAACCCAGAAGCTTTGGATAATGAAGCAAACATATTTTTGTGGTGTGGGCAATTTTTTTTTCAGTCTGCTGCTAGTTTTTAAATATAAAGTATAGCATATGTTTAACACAGAACATATGGAAAGAAAGAAAAAGCAAATCTTGAATTCCAAGTATCATATTCTTAGTGGAAAAGACTCTACAGTGTGAAAGTGGTCATTCAGAATGAAACAAACCCCCCCCCCACTTATTATATATAAATATTTATAAACCTATTTGCGAGTAGGAGAGTTTGCTCAGTCTGGGCAGTGTCCAGGCACACAAATACAGGTGAGCCCTCCTTTGAGAGGGATGTGTTTGAGCACCAAGGGTGCTCAGCTCAGGGCACTGCTCAGCCCCTCTGCCAGGAGCTCCTGTGCTCCTTCCCTGATGTAGGTTAGGCTGGGTAAGGCACATTATTTTTCTTGACAGACTGACACTGCACCGATTTAATTAATTTTTAAGCCAGATAGTTCACTTCTAAATTCTTAGCAGACAGTTCTGTTCAGTGTAAGAACTCTTCCATTTGTATTTCTGTCTGCTCTTGTATTTTGTACCTGCCTGCGTAGGACACATCGATCCAAACTGTCAGCTGAGAGTATGCACAAACCTTTTTCTTGGGTTCAAGGGAACTGGTCTTAAACCACAAATACAGTAAAGTGAGCTTTTAGTTCACAATCTCTTACATCCTCAGACCCCACTGGGACCTCAGAGCAGTTCGGTTCTTGGCGCAGGAATGGCTGCAAACGCACCCCTCTCCCTTTAGTGATGGGGAGAATCCCTGAGAGGCTGTTTCACCCCCAAGGTTTTCCAGCAGGTTTTACCCAAATAGAAGGCAAATGGGTAACCCAGCACGGCCACCCTGCATCCCTCCTGCCTCCAGTGCTCACAGACCGTCAGTGCTCTCTGACAGCCCACGGCACTGCTCGGGCCCCGCCCGGCCCCAGTGGAAACACGGGCAGCGCAAAGCCCAGCCCTGACCCCAAACTGTTCCCAGACTGCAGCCAATGCTTCTCTCGAGTCCTGGCAGTTTGTCTCTCCTCCAGAACACAAGGATGGGGAGTGCTGATTTGAATGCCACAACAGGTATTTATTTCTCTCTTATTTAGAGAGAAAGCTCCAGAAAGGACTCGGCAGGTCTCCTCAGTAGCAGCAGCAGGGAGGGACCCCAGTGCAGGTCGGTGCTCCCCTGTGCCACCAGTGCCAGCAGCACACAGGCAGCTCCAGGTGCCATCCTTACTGACTCTGCCTCCTTTCCCCTTTTTCTGTTCCCTCTCCTTTTGTGTGCAGTCCCAGATAGCTGCCAGTCACTTGGCCGGGCTGGCTCACAGAAGGTGCAGCAGGCACAGATGGCACTAATGCATAAATGTGATCTAGCAAAGGGATGCCAACACCAACCCCCAACAGGTTCCGAGGAACTGCAGTGCACTTACAGGGATACGAGGGTTGGCAAGGTGAAAGCTGAGATTTACAGGAGCTCACTATTCCCAAATCAACAACAGAATCCTACAACAAATGAGCAGATTTATTTATTAACTTAGAAAATGCACTTAATGGCACAATCTCTGGGCATGTGTGTAACAAAGCCTCTCCAAACCCCCCACTCGTTATATAAATTATACTGAGCAAAGGAAAGAAGGGAGAAGGGGAAAGGTGGGAACTGAAAACAAGGACAAACCGAGGAGCATGTACCCACTCCAGGGTTTTACAGGAGAGGTCCTAAAGAGAAACACGGGCAGCACAGAGGGGTTGGCAGTCAAAGGATCTGGACAGTGTCTAGAAGCGATGGAGCAAACCCCATAAACATCCTGTCCATCCTCAGCACTCAGAGCACACTAACATCCCAACAAACACACCTTTTTAGTAGTAGCTGGCAATGGACACTTAGGAAAAATGCACAGGGAAGGGAGTAAACGCAGTGTGACTGTGTCCCCATGGGACACCTCTCCCGCCTGCCAGAGAACAGGAGCATTCCCATAGGCACACCGGTAACAGTGACTTCCAGTGAGCCCAAGGCAGGAATGGAGGGCACCCCAGTGCACACACCTGGAGGCTGCCAGCACGGTGTGTGAGGGGCCAGCTGCTGGGGGGCCCAGAAGGAGCCCCTGATGGACACCACACTGTCACCGTACAGATCTCAGTACTGTGAGCCTTACACAGCTGACCGGAAAGGAATTACTCCCGATTTTCCGCAAGGCACATGAGAGCAGAAGCAGAGCCTAAAAATTAACAGAGCTGGTAACTGTTGGTGACCGTGGTACCAGCAGGGGAATTGTAGCAAATACCCCGGTAGTAGGAAATCAGGGACTACTACTGGGGGGCAGGATGTCCAAATATCTGGAAAGTTTGGATTACTAATCCCTTGGCATTCCACCCACAGTCTAACAATGTGCTGAGGGGTCTGTGTGCAGGAAGGAGAGTTTACTCTTGTGGTGCCAGGGGAGCCGACATGGCTGAGGGGTGGGGAACACCCTGGCACCCACGTCCTTCCTGGGCACACGCTCCATTTCACCAGTGCTGAATTACCCTGGCCACCGGACACAGCTGGGTCACAGTGGCATCTAGAGGGCTGCCACATGCAGTGTGTGTGCAAAGCAGGGGTCCTGCTGGGCTCTCCTACCGTCTGCAGAGCCAGAGCCAGCTCCAGCTCCAGCTCCAGCCAAGTGGGCACAACCCCAGAGAGCTGCACCCTCCCACCATGCTGCAGCCTTGCTAGTCTTTCTCCTAAGAGACCCGTTAAAACTTAAAACCCTGCTTCACAGAGATTCACATTTTTCCACAGAACTTACAAAGTGGATTTTTTGTCATTAATAATTGCGTGACAATTATTTTAAAATAATTTCCATAGCGTCCTGAATGCCACAGAACGGGGGTGCCCTCTCTTCTTACAAGCCATTGCCATAAGCCAGTCAGATGCCGTATGATCCACAGGCCAGGATTTGGCCGTGTCATTCCTCTGTTACGGGCTCAGAACGTGACCCTGGATGACTTACAGACTTAATGCTGTAGAGCACCTGGGTGTTAAATCTCTGAGCCATCTGAAGAGGATGATGTCTCTGCAGAAAGGCTGAGCTTAGAGAGGTACATCAGGAAAAGGACACTGGGAAGTATTCCTAAAGGAGGGGGATTTTAGGAGAGGCTTGAGTTGGGGTCATGATAGAAGTCTGAGGAGAACGGTTCCTCTTGTCAGTTCTGGTTTATATGTTGCTACCCCTGATTTGAGAGAGGGATAAATTCCATTATTCTCATGGTAGGTGCACAGAAGGGAGGAATGAACAATAGGATGTTTGACTTGTGCTTTAGAGGTTGCTATCCCTAGTAACTGTGTATTTCTGATTTTTTTTGCCTTTTTAGATGAAAAAAGCACCAAAGCACCAGGTTTGGATGGTTTCTGGTTTTAATGGGCTTAAAATTGGGCTCTTTTTCTGACTCTACAAGCCTTGAAGTGTGATGCATCTATAGTAGCAGATTATGTATTTTTTTTCTCCCTAAAAAAGACATAGAGGACCCAAGGTGTCATTTAGGATGCTGACACAAGGACACTTCTTGGCACTAGAGATCAGGCCTGCTGTCAGTCTGGCTGGAGTTCCCCATAACATAAATGAGATCCCCATTCATGGCAGGATTCATCTCAGAAAGTTTTGGAAGAGGTCAAAGAGTCTTCTCTGAGACATATCTCAGAGAAAACTTCTCTCCTGTCCTACTCCCTCTGCTGCAGCGATGCATATATGGTGCAGGAATGAGGGAAGGGCTCTTGGAGCTTCACCTGGAAATGAGGGTCACAATCCCACCCCTCTGGTTTCCCACAGGAGGAGGGAGCTGTCCCAGGGACAGCTCTGTGTGTCACTCTGGGATGGCAGGAGATGTGTCCTGGTTTTGGTGCCACGTGAGCCAGCGGGTGAGTGCTCACGCTGGGCAAGGTGTGCACTGGGACGGTGCCAGGACACAGAGCACCTTCCCTCTGGCAGTTGAACGGGCTCAGTCTGCCTTCCAAGGAGTAATGAGAGCTCCAGGAGAAGAGCCCTCCATTGGCAGGCTGCAAAGGGAAATGAGAACGTGTCCTTCAGGAAAGAGGGGTCAGACCTTGCCAGGCTGGGGGTACTTCCAGGGAGGCTGGGAATGTGCTGGGAATGAGGGAGGCTCACTGCCAAGGGTCAGGGAGAGTGTGCAGGGCCCCCGCTCCAAAGGATCTCTGCTAGAGAAACAGGGACTCTCCAGGCCATTTCCACATCCTTTCCTTTTGCATAAGCAATGCTTGCCTTGCATGAGGAAAACAACAAACTCCTGCCCTCTAGAGACAGGAGACCTCCAGCTCTGCTGAATAAAATATCTGCCACAACCTCCTTTTGAAGCAGATGCTACCAACGCAGCCAGTTTTATCCTCCCCCAAGGCCCACTGGCCGGCTCAGCAGCTCGATGCTCTCTCCTCCCAGCCCTGGAAGGCCGGCTCGCAGGAGAGGCAGCCTGTCACAACCACTCTGGGTCAAGGCAGGAGTTTATTTGGAGAACTGCTGAATAAAGCAGTCACAGAAAACTTGGCAAAGGAAAGAAATCCCTCCCTCTGCACTCCCCAAACCCATCAGGGCAGGACGGCAAATGCCCACACCAAGCCCAGCGCTCATTCTGTCCCTTCCCTGGTTGCCTGCAGCCTGTGCCGTCACCGCCTGGTCCACCACCGGGTGCTGGGCCCCAGGACACAGGAGGAGAGCAGGTGGATCTCCCGGGGTGCCACAGAAGCCCTGCACCCAGGTCCCACAGGGCTACAGCACTGGTAACATGCACTCTCGAGGTGTGGTGTGCTGGAGCAACTGTGCTGACATGTCCACATGCCCAGTTCCAAAGTAAGTGCTGTTAGTGTGTGGAAAGCTTGCTCTAAGGGCATTTCCTCACAGCTGCCAGCCAATACCCCTGACTCCCCCGGCAGCAGCTCCATCCATGCATTGGGTTCGATACCCCAGCTGCCAACAGCAGTATTTCTCACACACATGCCTGCCCTGCACCCCTCAGTGTTTGCTCCAAACACACACCTAAATCACAGGCACTGAAAGAAACATCTTTCAGCTACCTCTTTGGAACCCGTCTCTGGCAGGATTGGTTTCTCAGCCCATGCTCCAAAATACAGTGTTTATCAGGTGCAGAAAGACAAGAACTATCTTTTAAAACAACTTAGTCCTGTCCTCCTTTTCCTGCCCTTTACTGCCTGCAGCTAAAGCAGGCCCAAGGGGTGGAAAGTGATTGTGAGGTACCTGTAACTGTGCTGGCACCTTGTCCTCACAGCAGCCATTTTTTTGATGTTCCTTGTGAAACCACAGTTCCTGGACCCCAGGCTCTGTGACCTTTGGAAGATGACCTACAGGACTGTCCGATTGCTGGGAAAGATCGTGAGGTTCACATGCACACACTAAGGAGGCTACATCACACAAATATGAGGAAAATACACAAATAATATGCCTTTCCACTTCAGTTGCTGGTAAAAATTGTTAAAGGGGAAAAAAAATCCTTATTAGGGCCCAAGTAGCACCCCTCACCTGTATTTTGTTCCTTTTTATGATGTGGTTATTTTAGGAGGCCTTTTAGCCCACCCTGCCATGTTCTTGGGGCTCAGAGCTCACCTCAGCTTTGTCAGGGGTGTTTCAGCCAGCAATTCGGGAATTCTGGGGAAAAGCCTCCTCTGGCAAGCCCCAGGAATGATGCTGGTATCTGCAGCAGTAACACCAGTTCAGGATCACTCCTCTAAGGGATCATTGCTGATTTATTGTGGGACAAACAGCCCTTCCAGCAGCATGCAGTGCTGTGAGGCAGCTGTCCAGGCACTAAATCCCTACTCCTGCAGCATGGCTCAGGGCTACCCAGTGGGAGCTCTCCAGGTGCCACCTGCACGGCTGCGGGATGGCAGCACTGGGCAGGGGGTGAACACCAAGCGAGGGCTTCTGCTGCGGGCGGGAACAGGGGACAACTGCCAATGGATTTGCCTGGTATCCAGTAAATGTGCTGGTGGCAGCACATCTGGGCTGTGTCAGCAGGGTGAAAAGGCAGTTCCAAATGCTCACAATACTCTGAGCTCCCCAGGTCTCTGGGACGAGATATTACTGAATCCTGGGGGACAAAGAGGAAGTGGGAGGGAGATGCCAGCTTAAATCCCTGATGGCTGCTCAGAGCTGCACAGGACAGGGTGGGTTAGCAGCCCCTCTCCAAAGTAAACACAGGAATAGCTAGTTTTAAAAATATATATATAGTTCCCTTCAGCTGTACACTCCAGCCTGTCAGAGGGTATTCAGAGGTCAGGGAGCGTTGTAACAGTGAAATACATCCTGAGCAGACGAGCCAGGGAAGGAGCACTTGGATTTAATGCCAGAGGAATTTTAATGCCCAGGAGATGGGCAAGGTGACAGCGGCTTCAGGTAATGCTGCTTCTGCCACCTACGGTGTGGGGAGGTCACTGAGGGCCCTGTTGGGCAACAGGGTCGTGGCCCCCGGCCCCGCACAGGCTGTCTGGTTCCACTCTCACCGCCCAAGGCAAGTGCCAGGACTTATCCGGTAAGGAAACAGGACTCTGAGGCTGGTGCTGCCAGGCACTGGCACCAGTGCCCAGCTGGAATCCCTCCTGGACTTACTCCTTCAGAATTCCCTTTTATT